GACTCCCCACCTGCTACCAGCCATTTGGATCTCTAACTTATAAGTATTATTATGCTTAGTATGACCGGAAAGCAGGCAGGACTATGGCAAGGGGTATGACAACTATTTCACACGTGGACCTTTTGAGTAGTCTCCTCTCAAATTTTATGAAATATAAAATTTAATATTGCTTGAAGGTATTTTCAGCAACATCCATAATCAAATCTGAAAATGTTGAAAATCTGGGCATTCTGACTGAATTCTTTAATTCAGCCTGAATAATCATCCTGGTTGAGAATAATATTTATTGGAGAATGGAGACTGAAGGAAGACATTCTTTCAAGCTACAAAGTGAAACATAAGGAAAAAAAAACATGGTGTGGAAAGTGAAGTAGAACAATTGCACAGTCAAACGTGTGAACTTTAGATGTAACTGTTCTGCATATAAAACTCGTACTCTAATGGAAAAATACCTAAGGAGGTGTCCTAGGGTGTCCAGTGGACTTCTGAGAAGACTCTGGAAGCAGCCAGAGTGCTGCTTTTCCAACTCATTTGGCACATGCTGGGCCTGGTATGCTGTCATAAAGGCTTGGGGACATTGTTGTGTCAGTGAGATACCTCTTAATTGGAAGAACTGACCTGAATATATGTGTGTGGGGAGAAGTTATTCCCAAAATGGTCCCAGAATACTTACACATTTACCCGAAGTGCAGAAAAAGAGATAGTAAGGAAAAGAAATGGGAAGTAGGAAAGAAAATCTAACTGAATCTAGTTTATAGCAACACTACACCTATCTTTGCAAACTATTTTTGCTTTCACCAGGTCCAGACGTCGCTTCAGATATTACTGTTTGTTCTTTCTTACCTGGCTCTTTTTGAAGGTCATATGCACTTTCTTGGTTTCCTCTTCCTCTTGATCCATCCACTCTCATATAGCTGCATGCAAAAGTTTAGGCCTCCGTGGTCAAGTTGTGTTTTCAATGAATCTCTCATTGAACAGAAGTTAATACAACTTCTGCATGGTCCAAACTTAAGAAGTGATCTCTTTTTGCAAGCGTGAATGCCTGCTCCCTATCTCTTGCCCCAGTAGCAGAGAGCTGGAAAGACTACCTAGTTGCGGTAGATGTTCTGTTGTCCTCAGGAGGCCAGTGGTTCTCTTCTTGCTTGTACTTCGCTAATGAAGATGTGTATCACTTGAGGGTTCATCCCAGAGCAGCTTTTATGTGTGGTTTTCATTCAAGAGGAGGTGCTTCTCCAGATGATCCATGCCATTTTCAGTGTTTAGAAGGATTTGTTCTAGTTCTCTCCTCAGAGACCCATCTAGTGATTGTTGCTCTGTGCTCTGCCAATAAGGTTAACTACTACTGTATTATATAGCAGTGTTTTAGTCAGAGAACAGGAATTTTGGAATGAAATAGTATGCTTAACACTGAGATTCATCCCAGCCTGCTTTAATGCTGATTTCTAGCATTGGTTTGCTTCCAAACATTCAATAATACTTTCTTGGCAGCTATGTTTACGGGCTGCTTTTAACAATTGTACGAAGAGATGAGTAAAATGACTAGAAAGAACTGGAGGAAAACAAATGCTGTTCATTCATGTTCCAGCTTATTAAACTAAGACATTAGCTTATTGTCACATGGGGTCAGAATTATTCCATTAATACCATTGAAAATACACGTAAAGTTTTAGAAACAAAATCACAGGCATGTTTTTATTAATTTTGTTAGCTGCAGTTGTTCACTTATGTTTCAATGTGTATTATTTATATAGAGATAATTGCTCCTTTATTCTTCCCATTTTTATTTCTTGGAATGTAATTCACACGACTTTTTCAAATAAGTAGGATTTGAATATACTTTAATATATTTTCCCCTGGAAACTGAAGATATGTGCAAGTTTGTTTTTGTTGGTTGTTTGTTTTTAAATAAACAAGCAAGTTTGTTTTTGCTTGTGGTGCTCCAAAAGCACCACAAGCAAAAATAACATTTTAACCTCCTTTCATAAATCATGTTAATTTGTTTTCTCCAAGGAAACACAAAATTCAAAAAGTTAAGAATCGCTTAAAAAAAAAAAGAACATTATTGAGGCTGTTACTTCATTGAACCATATATAAACCTTTCAATTAAATCCCCGTAGATAGCTTTAGTGACTTTTTAAAATATTAGTATTAATTAACATTTTTGTTTCTTTTTAAAATAAAAGCTTTTATGAGCACTTACTGATGAGCTATTATATCATGAAGATATTGTATCAGTAATGTTTCAAAATGTTAAATGCAATAAAGACTAAAGGATTAGCCATCCACTTAGCTATATTTTCAGAGCTTTATAATGCAGTTACCTGGAGGATATTTCCATTTAATTCAGTGGAACATAGTTCTGAATGCACAGGATTGTACTGTAAAAAGTATCTGCTTGTAATTCGATTGAAACTGAGATCGGTGTTTATTTATTTATTTATTAAATTTATATGCTAGCCATCTCCCCCAGAGGGCGGCTCTGGGTGGCTCACAATTAAAGTGAAACCCGAAAACAGTTAAAAATATAAATATCCCCATCAATTTAGTTAAAATGTCAAGCTATATAAAAAGAGCATATACATAAATGTTCAGGGTAGCATGGCTTAGTTGCTGTTTCTCTGTTGAAAGAAACACATATGTTTTCATGTTTTTCCATGTAGATTTCTCTGATGTATAACTTTAAAAAAAAAAAAAAGCAAGCAAGACTTTTCTATAATATTCATAAAACGAATTCTCTTTTAAACTTCTGGATGCCACATTATATAGAT